CGCCCTCTAGTGGTGAAACATTATGTGTGGTACACAAAACGCCCTCTAATGGTGATACATTGTGTGCGGTACACAGAAGGCCCTCTAGTGGTGAAACATTATGTGTGGTACACAGAACGCCCTTATAGTGGTGGTGCATTATGTGTGGCACACAGAACACCCTCTTGTATTGAAACATTGTGTATGGTACACACAGAACACCCTCTAGTGTTGATACATTATGCGTGGTACACAGAACGCCCTCTAGTTGTGATACATTATGTGGTACACAGAACACCCTCTAGTGATGATACATTATGTGTGGTACACAGAAAACCCTCGGTACACAGAACACCCTCTAGTGGTGATACATTATGTGTGGTACACAAAAAAAACTCTAGTGGTGATACATTATGTGTGGTACACAGAAAACCCTCTAGCGGTGATACATTATGTGTGGTACACAGAACACCCTCTAGTGGTGATACATTATGTGTGGTACACAAAACACCCTCTAGTGGTGATAAATTAGTTGGTACACAAAACACCCACTAGTGATGATACATTATGTGTGGTACACAAAACGCCCTCTAGTGGTGATACATTGTGTGCGGTACACAGAACGCCCTCTAGTGGTGATACATTATGTGTGGTACACAAAACACCCTGTAGTGATGATACATTGTGTGTGGTACACAGACCACCCTCTAGTGGTGATGTATTATGTGTGGTACACAGAACGCCCTCTAGTGGTGATACATTGTGTGCGGTACACAGAACGCCCTCTAGTGGTGAAACATAATGTGTCTAGTGGTGATACATTATGTGTGGTACACAGAACGCCCTCTAGAGGTGATACATTGTGTGCGGTACACAAAACGCCCTCTAGTGGTGATACATTGTGTGCGGTACACAAAACGCCCTCTAGTGGTGATACATTGTGTGCGGTACACAGAACGCCCTCTAGTGGTGAAACGTTCTGTGTGGTACACAGAACGCCCTCTAGTGGAGATGCATTATGTATGGTACACAGAACACCCTCTAGAGTTGATACATTATGTGTGGTACACAGAACACCCTGTAGTGGTGATACAGTGTGTGTGTGTGGTACACAGAACGCCCTCTAGTGGTGGTGCATTATGTGTGGTACACAGAACACCCTCTAGTGGTGATACATTTTGTGTGGTACACAGAAAACCTTCTAGTGGTGATACAGTGTGTGTGTGTGTGGTACACAGAACGCCCTCTAGTGGTGGTGCATTATGTGTGGTACACAGAACACCCTCTAGTGGTGATGCATTATGTGTGGTACACAGAAAGCCCTCTAGTGCTGATACATTATGTGTGGTACACAAAAAAACCTCTAGTGGTGATACATTATGTGTGGTACACAGAAAACCTTCTATTGTTGATACAGTGTGTGTGTGTGTGGTACACAGAACGCCCTCTAGTGGTGGTGCATTATGTGTGGTACACAGAACACCTCTGGTGGTGATACATTATGTGTGGTACACAGAACACCCTGTAGTGGTGATATATTGTGTGTGTTACACAGAACACCCTCTAGTGGTGATACATTTTGTGTGGTACACAGAAAACCTTCTAGTGGTGATACAGTGTGTGTGTGTGTGGTACACAGAACGCCCTCTAGTGGTGAAACATAATGTGTCTAGTGGTGATACATTATGTGTGGTACACAGAACGCCCTCTAGAGGTGATACATTGTGTGCGGTACACAAAACGCCCTCTAGTGGTGATACATTGTGTGCGGTACACAGAACGCCCTCTAGTGGTGAAACGTTATGTGTGGTACACAGAACGCCCTCTAGTGGTGGTGCATTATGTGTGGTACACAGAACACCCTCTAGTGGTGATACATTGTGTGTGGTACACAGAACACCCTCTAGTGGTGATACATTATTTGTGGTACACAGAACACCCACTAGTGATGATACGTTGTGTGTGGTACACAGAACACCCTGTAGTGGTGATACAGTGTTTGCGTGTGGTACACAGAACGCCCTCTAGTGGTGATACATTATGTGTGGTACACAAAACGCCCTCAAGTGGTGATACATTGTGTGCGGTACACAGAACGCCCTCTAGTGGTGATGCATTATGTATGGTACACAGGACGCCCCCTAGTGGTGATACATTGTGTGTGGTACACAGACCACCCTCTAGTGGTGATACATTATGTGTGGTAGACAGAACACCCTCTAGTGGTGATACATTATGTCGTACACAAAACACCGTCGTACACAGAACACCCTCTAGTGGTGATACATTGTGTGTGGTACACAGAACGCCCTCTAGTGGTGATGCATTATGTGTGGTACACAGAACGCCCTCTAGTGGTGATGCATTATGTATGGTACACAGGACGCCCTCTAGTGGTGATACATTGTGTGTGGTACACAGAACACCCTCTAGTGGTGATACATTATGTGTGGTACACAGAAAACCCTCTAGTGGTGATTCATTATGTGTGGTACACAGAACACCCTCTAGTGTTGATACATTATGTGTGGTACACACAGAACACCCTCTAGTGTTGATACATTATGCGTGGTACACAAAAAAACGCCCTCTAGTTGTTATACATTATGTCGTACACAGAACACCCTTTAGTGGTGATAGATTGTATGCCTTCAAGAGAAAACACTTTTAGTGGTGATATATTGTATGCGGTACACAAAACACCATTTAGCGGTGATGCAAAAAAAAGCATTGTTTTTGATACAGAGAACGCCCTCTGGTGGTGATATGTATGTGGTACTCAGATCATCCTCTAGTGGTGATATATATGTGCGGTAGAGAGAAAGCCCCCTTTTGAGATACATTGTGTGTGTTGCAAACAAAACGACTTCTACAAAATGTAGTGGTGATACATTGTGTGCGCCGGGTATACAGAACGCCACTCTCGTGGCGATACGTTATGTTCACAGAACGCCATCTAGTGGTGAATTAATCTTTCGCCAATATCATCTTTGTTTGAAATGGAACTGAAATACATTTTTTAGAATATCCTGTATTTGCTTTTCATCATCCTATTCAATATTTCCATTGCAGGGATTACCGAGTCTGAGAACCCGACAGTTTTAATATTTTACGAACTTGTCTTATATATGACTTGGGATTACTCGTTTTATGATTATCTATAATGTCACCAACATTATTATAAAACAGTTATCTTGCATATTTTTTTCATATAGTTCACCTTATTTCTTTGGCTTTTAAATTCCTCTAAGTTGGATATGGATTTGGACTTAACACGTTAACAGTGTTATGAAACCGGTTCCGTAACTGTATAGCTTTTCTTTGTTCGGAATGCATTCACAATTTATCACGTGGTCTTATATGAACATTTTTAGGTTCACATTCCTAAGCAAGTGAAAAAAAATGCTAAGTGTTATCCATACATGCTACATTACCAGAAAAGAAATTTTGAAAACAAATGTAGGCCAATCAAAATTCGCTATCTATTTAAAAGTTTAACCGCTTAAAATCAGCATGATTGTAAGCCCAAACTTCTCGAATGTTGGTACAAGATAGATTAATAGGTATAGACAAAAATACCACACATGTACAGTGTACCATGATCATCTATAGTATGATCAATCGGAATAACATACGAATCAGTGCATTTGGTAAGATCAGTGGAAATGCACATACTTTTCATGTCCAAATATTAATATAAAGAAACCTGGGTACCTTCTAGTCCGACCAGCTTTGTCATTTGAAGCGATAAAATCCGATTTTCAGGAGTCACAATATCCCCCCAACATCATTTTGGAATTTTATTTAATGTAAAGACATGTTAATTTACGCAAGACATCGAACAGAGAACAGCAGTGAAAGTTTACTAAAATGACACTTAAATTGAATGCTTTATGATGAAAATAAAAAAAAATCCTGAAACAGAGGGTAAAACAATTCTAACCTCAAATAGAGTTGTATCACCTAAATCCACACTGTTGGCAGTTAACTTATCACCCTTTCATGAAATAACCACTATATTCGTGAAACATCAGGAAATGTCTCTTGGATTAATTCTATCTCCAAGTATGTCTCTAGCGGTGAGACATTATGTGGTTCTCAGAACATCCTCTCGAGGTGATTAAGTCTATTTGGTACACACTCGCCAGCCAACCTTTAGTATTGCGACCTTATATGGTACACAGAAACGCTCTTGGTCATAACCGTCAGGCGCGTAGCTACCATGTAAGCCAATAAGCCCGGGCTTGCACATGATTTTGACAAGTATAGGCTTTCATGACGGTTTTTATCCTTGCTGATACTATAAAGTGGAGTTTAAGTTTTGAATATATCGTATACATATGTAATTCCTCAGATATGATACATTGTTAATAGTTAGTGGGGCAACCTCGCTTCTCGAAATGACCAACAAATAACAGGAGCAAGGATAAGGAACCAGTTACAAAGCACAAACAGAAGACGAAACTGTGTGGGAGACTGAGTAAAGGTGACAGTGGGGGTAACCTCGCTTCCCAATTAACTCGGATCAGATTATGAGAAAGACAAACCCAATTGCATGTTCACTAATGCAGAAGTATCAAATGCATTTATCAAGATAAGGTAAAAACCAGACAATGTATGTATGGAGGGTGTACAAAGCAATACCGACGGTTGATCTTCAGAATTACACTGGATCCACGTAAATAGATATATATACAAAACATAGGATTTTTTTCTTGCGGATTAAATCGAGAAAACAGACATCAGGACGTGCTAAATGGCTCCTGAGACGTTCTAGAAAACAATTTTTTCTTCGGCAACCCCGTATCGGGCTTACACATGGTAAAGGGGCTAGCTACGCGCCTGACCGTGAAGAGTTTTCCCGTCACAGTAACAGGCCCGATTTTATTATGCTAATTTTATATACAATTAAAAATGAATCATAGCAGGAAGAAAGCATATTCCTAGTATTGGATAAAATATATCCTGTCATGAATATAAATGTATATTTATAAAAATAAAAACCTGGTCAAAGTTTCATCTTCAGTACATCACAGGCTTTTCCGTGTGCCACAGTTCACATGTCTGTGCAGAGCAACTAGGCTAGAGACGTGGTCTGCAGAGAAAGTTGGAGATACATTTTGTACATTAACTTGCTCAAGAAAGAAACATGTCCTACAGAGCAAGCTTGAATAGTTCTAAAGGACGCTGGAAATATGGCTTGTAGTGCAAGTTAAAGAAAGACTATATATTATGCAAGGAAGAAACAGGTGACACAGAGCAAGCTGAAGACGTTTTCTATAGAATACTCAAGAAACAGTGTTGACTAGCAAGCTTGGGTCAAGGATTATCCAAAGTTATCGTATTTGATATTGTATCATTACAGTCCAAAGTTTTCGACATGTTCTACAATTTTGAAGCAGGTAACTATTTTTCTTCCGATATTAAATAGGATAATTCTTCATACATTCATAGACTTAAAAATGCAACAGATGTTAAGATATCAGCTGTGCATATAAAAAAATCGGAATTTCGTTTCGTTATTTTATTTTTAGAAATATATTAGTATAGTTCTAATATGTAATCCATTTGCCTAGGTTATCAATCACTAAAGTATCCCTGTCCCATTAGTTTCGTTCAACCAGACGCTTGATCACTTGTAATTCAAGAGTCTGGTCAATCACAGTGCATTAACATTATCACCACCATAGGGCAGTATTTCTACTTCCCTTTCCGGACGTTATGTCAACGCCATTAAACATTTCAATGAATGATGAAATTAATGAAAAAAGTTACCTATACATACACTCCTTAAGTACCCGTGTATTCACTTTTATCGAGAACAATGTAAGAAAATGTGTCAAATCTCCAGAATAATGCCATATATTTCCATTGAATAAAGAACAAAACCAACAAGGCTGACTGAAGTTTGAAAAAAGCATGCAAAGCAAGTGAGATTTTACCTGTACACCATTCAAAACACCTTCAGGTTCTCACTCAGGTAATCTGGCTTGACTTGTATCAATAGCCTTGTTAGCTTCATGAATTATTGTAAAATATCCAAAGAAAATACCTGAAATCATTCTTTTTGAAGCATTTTCTTACATTTTTCTCGTTAATAGTGAAAACATGGATACTTCAGGAATGCATATACAGGTAATTTTTTAATGAATTAAAATATTTAATGTAATTTTGGGCCACTCAAATTTTGACATCAAAAGTTAAAAAGGGTGTGTCGACCTTTGACCAATGATTTTTTTTACCAGAATCTCGGTAAGCCTCCTTATGATGTCACAAAACGAAAGCACTGCGTTTGACCAGACTCTCTATTCGGCGTAGCTTGCGCAGGCAACAAGAGTCTGGTTGAACGAGACAACTGTCCCATTAAACCATGTTCTTTAATATATATGTATACAATAACCTCCCCTCAACTTCCGTTCAAAACTATTCTGTTGACCAGGCAGCTCAGTCGGTTATATATTTAGAGCAATATATTATATCAATCTGAAGTCCAGGGTTCGAATCCCGCTCACTGAAATTTCACACTTAAAACACGCTATGATTGATTAAATTTTGTTTTATATCACCATTCTTAGTTATCATAAAAGTCACGTAAGGTATTTTTTTCTTTTCAGAAATGCTTTATCAAAACTATAGTCATGTCGGAAAAAATGTGTCCAACTGTATTAAGTTATAGTTTTTGGCAGTGGTACAAGGATCCTTAATTGTTGAGTTCAAGTTTTGAACAAATTGATATGGCCTACTGGATTCATTTATCCATTGCCTCGCGTTTTATTATTATCATCATTTTATATACAGTGTGTATATATATTCTCATTAGGGATCCGAACCCCGGACTTCAGATTGGTATACAGTGTAATTTTTTATAAAAAAATATACCTCCTCTGACATGTATTCTTTATGGTTTTCTTAACGTTTGATCTACCCATATACCAAATTTCTATGCTTTAGCTTACTTCTGATGTAATGTTTTTCTTTATCTTATTTTTCTGATATTTCATGTTTATATTTGTTTGAATTTTCTATAAAAGTTGTTAGTATAACAGTAGAATTACAGTTCATGAACTGAAACAAGTTTTAATTTTCATCATTTCAGATTGAATCCTGAAAATAACGGCGATGGATTCTACAAAGATTGAGCGGATGTCTGTTGTCATGTCGACACACATGGACAGGAAGATTACAGGGACACAGAAAGAGGTGGATTTTCAGAGGAGAGCATGCGTTCTAAAAGAACATATAATCAATGACCGTTTTTCAGGTTCCGTTTTCCACGTCGGAAGTCGTGGAGAGGGATTTGATCTACTGGCATCAGATACGGACATGATGGTGACGTTACCAATGGTAACAATGATGTACCCTGACCAGTGCACGTGTATCCCTCCAAATATAGCACGCAATACAATTCTGTATATCAGAGAAGCAGACTGTCGCCCTGGATATGTCCACTTACAACTAGGTCAGCTAGGACAGAAATGTCTCAATTTATTGAAGGATTCATTTATAAGAACTGGGGATTCAACTTTTGTTTCCAGTGATATCTTTAGAGAGTCATGGGTCAGTGAATCGGGCAATTTGTCACGTTTCTCATGGGAATCCAACGGGCCTAGCAGTACGATGCTTGGACAAATTGATGCCGTTTATTGCTTTCCATGTAACTGTTGGCCAAGGGAAGCTAATGAATGGATTACCCGAACACGTCTGTATGGATGGCCACATCAAACCTTAATAGACCAGATCGTACACAGTGGATGTCAACTTGTCCCTGTCGGGGACAAGTGTTCTGTAGATACTCTCTTACAATGGAGATTCTCTTTTGCAACATCGGAAATATCTTTAGTTCACTCGTTCAGTCACATACAGTTCAAAGTATATGCCTTGCTGAAATGTTTCTTAAAACAAATAAAAGTCACGTTAAGAGAAACGATAGGGGATGACGATATCTTGTGTTCCTATTTTTTGAAAACTATCCTTTTTCATGCAATAGAGAACTCCAGCCAACTGTTCTGGCAGGAAAAACACTTAATCTATTGTTTCAGGTTTTGCCTCAACATTCTGATTGCTTGGGTCAAGGCGGGGGTCTGTCCTAATTATTTCATTCCAGCCAACAATCTGTTTCAAAGGAAAGTCCACGGACAAAATCAAGAAATACTATTGGACATTTTGAACAATTATTGGCAGATGAAATGGCCGTGCCTTTTAGTTGGAAACTTGATACTTTTTAAGTTCTACCCCTCCATATGGGAAGTTGAAAGTCCCCAAACCGACCAGGAAATCATCTTCCGGCAGGATCTAAAAACTTGCCGCGCGATACGAGAAATAGCTTTCTGTCCAATCATTGGAACACTATGGGCCATAAGGAACGCAATTAATTCGTTATCAAAAACACAGTCAGATTCTGATGAAGTTTTCGCGTACCAGTATACTATGTTTTGCTTACAAAGATTACTTGCAGCAGAACAGGCCTCCCAAGATCACTATGCTATGGACAACAAGACAAGGTACAAAGGTTTAAGGAAATGTAAAAACTGGATGATTCATGGGGCCTCAATGGGCACAGAGCTGTTACGACTGGCAACTTTTCATTTTCTGACAGGAAATTTTATTAAAAGTCTGAAGGTGTGCGAACAAGTCATGAAACTCGCAATATATTTCACAAGTTTCCGTAAAGATCAAGAAAAGATAGAAGACATGTTTAGGTTCGAGTATCATCGATCAGGACACACTTTATCTAGACTGCGGAAAATATACACATACTATATTACCTTTACTCGCCGAGACTTGTATCTTCCTCACCTCTGGCTAGAATTGACGAATAACGACGCAGAATTACATATCCCTCCACTGCCGTATGCCGTTTTTCTGTCATTCCTGTGCTGTCATGAGCTTGGTGATACCAGAGGACGTGATACATCATTACGTAACATGGAAGAGGTTCAGTATGAAGAGAGGCAAGGAGGACACATATACTGGATAGTTCACACTCTCCTGGGCATCTGCTACGAAATTCTCGGGGACTCTCGAAGGGCCATCAGAGCTTACTGGAATTCTGCTCAGTCAACTACTATTTTCTTAACAGTCTCGAAGAATCCTGCTATCCAGAGGATAGCTAGTGTGTATCTTTGTATGTATGCCTCAAAGAAAGACAACAGAGGATAAATAAGAATGAGGTGTATTGACATACGTTTGACTCCAGGAGGACTGACAGAGGTTAGCTGTAATATATATATACATTATGTATGCGTAGGCCTCACAGAGGATAGATGTAATGTATATATATGTGTATTCCTAACAGATGATAGCTGTGTTGTATATATAAGTGTATGCCTCACAGAGGATAGCTGTATTGGATATATATATGTGTATGCCTCACGGAGGATCCTTGTATTGTATAAATATGTGTAATAATATTCCTAACAGAGGATAACTGTATTGTATATATATGTGTATGCCTCACAGAGGATAGCTGTATTTTATTACCCCTTTGAGCAAAATCTAGGTTAAAAACTACAGTGTAGGCCTACCAAACCGCATTCGTAAATCTCAGGGGTATACGAAAATCTCAGGGGGTATACGAAAATCTCAGGGGGTATACGAAAATCTCAGGGGGTATACGGTCATGTCTCGTGATTCTCAGCAGTAATACGGTGAAATCACGTGATTCTCAGCAGTAATACGGTGTAATCACGTGATTTTACAAGGGGTATACGGGTCACGTGTCTTTGTATCTTGCGGCCGGGCAACGGGAGACAACTCGCATTCGTCGTCTGCTTCGCTGTTTACAAAATGGCAACACGTTTCGCTTCGCATACTGATGAGGAAATACTCGCCAAAAGGGCTAACTATGTGCCACAAAACACACAAAAGTCGAACAGACGAGCGGCAAACATGCTGAGGACGTATTTAAAAGAAAATAATCAGGAAGAACAGTTTGAGGAATTTGATAAAACGAAACTAAATGAGGTACTGTGCCATTTTTATCTTGACAACAGAAAAGTTGACGGTGAACTGTACAAAACCAATATAAAAGACTCAAAGGGGTAATAAATGCGTTACACGGATTTTTGGCAGGGTATACGGGATGGTATGACCCTACAGGATTTCGGATTTCCTGAGGCCTTTTATCGGCCTTAGGAAATACGAAATCCTGTAGGGTCATACCATCCCGTAAACCCTGCCAAAAATCCGTGTCCCTAATAGTATACATATATGTTTATGCCTCATAGAGGATAGCTGTGTTGTATATATATGTGTATTCCTAACAGAGGATAGCTGTGTTGTATATTTATGTGTATTCCTAACAGAGGATAGCTGTTGTATATATATATGTGTATTCCTAACAGAGGATAGCTGTGTTGTATATATATGTGTATTTCTAACAGAGGACAGATGTGTTGTATATAATATATGTGTATTCCTAACAGAGGATAGCTGTGTTGTATATATATGTGTATTCCTAACAGAGGATAGCTGTGTTGTATATATATGTGTATTCCTAACAGAGGATAGCTGTGTTGTATATATATGTGTATTCCTAACAGAGGATAGCTGTGTTGTATATATATGTGTATTCCTAACAGAGGATAGCTGTGTTGTATATATATGTGTATTCCTAACAGAGGATAGCTGTGTTGTATATATATGTGTATTCCTAACAGAGGATAGCTGTGTTGTATATATATGTGTATTCCTAACAGAGGATAGCTGTGTTGTATATATATGTGTATTCCTAACAGAGAATAACTGTGTTGTATATATATGTGTATTCCTAACAGAGAATAGCTGTGTTGTATATAGATGTATATGCCTCACAGAGGATAGCCGTGTTGTACATGTATTTATATTTGTATTCCTAACAGAGGATAGCTGTGTTGTATCTTTATTTATTTCCTAACAGATGGTAGCTGTTGTGTACATTTTATATTAACCTTCGTATGCCTTCATTTGACATTTCTTTAGACTATGAACGCCATGATTGTGGAATGTGATCATTATTATGACGTCATCATTGTTACGTAAGATATTACTGACTATACTTGGACAGATGGCTGTTCTATTCATTGAACAAGCATATACTATGAAGAATTTAATTGGTCTAAGTGCTGAAGATTATAAGCATGTTGAACATAAGCACAGAACTGATTTCGGTTGGCATTTAAAGGCAATATGAATGCCAACTGGACAAAGGTTAATCAAATATGAAACGCTATTGAATATGCCTTTGTCAAGATAGCATTCATATTGTCTAACGGTTTAATTATTAAATGTAGGTCTCGCAGAGGTCTGACAGAGGATATGCGTCGTGTATGTATGTATGTATGTATGTATGTATGTATGTAAATATTAAACGGAGCATATACGAAATGCTTACATGAATACATCGTTCAAGATTACACGTTAAAACCACCTGATGGTTAATAAATTTCTATCTCAAAGCACAATACCTTGTTCATCTGAACATATCAAACATACGGAATATGTAAATCTAAACTGATTGAAATTTAACGTGTTTAGTTCTGGTTTTAGAATTTGAATAAAAATATTCTGTTTGATTTCAGTCGTTTATCATGTATACATTCGATAATTTGGTAAAACTAAAAACTGATCATTTGAACACTCGTAAAAATGTTTGTTAACTTATACATTTCGTAAACTCTCAGTTTTGTTTTTTTGACGATTGAATGCCATACTTCGACGTAGTTCGTTTCAAGTTTGACCTTTGTAAAATTCAGAGCATCTCTTACAAATTACAGCATTTGCAATTCATACAACATCTTATTTCATTTTTTGTTTGTTTTTCTTTTATGACATATGTCTTACATCTGGTAAGGGTCCTAGCTCCTTATATTATACCAACGTGCGAATCGCCTAACATAACATTTTAGATGAAGCATGAGATAAAATCTGGCTAAACTGTTATGATAATAACATAGTTCAAACAACCCTTTTTAATGACTTGTGTGCTAAAGAATTTTGTTCAGTAAATGTTTCTCTGTTCAATAAGAAATATGTTCAATCAGACGTAATGTTCATTATAGTACAATGAATCAACATTGTGTTTAGTTCAATAGCATCGTGGTTTAAGTTTAGTACTTTTTAACAAATACATAATTCAGGTCTACAAAATAAGATATATACTAATTTGAAATCTTTCGATGCAGCTATTTAATACTGTTATGTATTAAAATTTAGTTTCCAGTTTATCAAAATTCAAGATATCTGATAGTCGCTTTTTTCAATACCACGTATATTTCTTATCTTATGATGATATATAAAAAATATTTCTATTATGACGAATGACTTTCTACGTAAAATTTGGTTATGGTAAATATCAAACATATATATGGTTTAATGTCTCCAATGTCAGGGATATTTTGAATCCAGAGAAATAAATGTTCCGTGACTGTCCCTATGAATTGTATCAGGAAGCGCGTGTACTAGTCTTAAGACGGTAATGGCCTCGACCTCAAGATGAATTAATGTCATACATATAGAACATCATCTATTGAGGATATATCATGTTGTTGGAGTTTCATAAAAGTTTCTTCAGACCTTCTAAACTCGTATGAAACAATTCACAAAGCGAAAAACCAAACCGTCGAAAAGTGAAGGACCATTGCCTATATTTGGGGCCCGTCCTACGTGTAAACTTATTGACAGAAACTCTGTCAAACCAAACCCATTTTAAGAGCTTTTTCACAAGGAACTATTTTTGAAGTACTTATTTTCACATTTGACGTCCATGGGGAGAGTGTTTAAGGATCCCATGAACTTCTCTATAGCTATAGCACATTTGGAAGCATGCCATTGTGTTCTTCACTCAAGTGGGTAATGGGCCTTGACATTTGACCCCATTGCACATATGCAACCCATGAGATTTTTTCCTCGCACGATTTTAGCTCATGATGGCGGGGCCACGACAGGCCAAGGAACTGACGTCAGTTTGGGAAGGGTGGATTATAAAGCCGTGTTGTAGGGGGAGGGCAGGGGCGGGTCCAGGTGAGGGCGTAATGGGCGTACGCCCCCCCCCCCCCTTTAAAAAAAAAACCCACCAACTATCGTAATCTGCTAATATTGTATTGAATATGGCAATTTATCATATTCATTAATAAAACACATACTCTGATTTCTTTTTATACTGATTCCCCCATCCGATGCGTGATCCGTAGTTTTTTAGCAAAAAAAGGTCCATTTTTTTTCCTCGTTACGCTCGGCAAAAGAATTTGATTCTACGCCCCCTCTTTCAAATATCCTAGAAACGCCCCCTGGAGGGGGTGGTGCTCGTACAACAATCGTACCTTAAAGCAGATGTTTGATGGCGGAACCCCAGGGACCTTCAAACAACTTAGTTTCTGTCCAAATATAGCTGTAACACATTCGTAGAAATGTCTTGTGTTTAACTATCCTTGTATAAACCTACGATTCTGAGAGCCTAAGAGGATCTCGTAACGATCGAGCGATATCGTAGCACAGTAGTAGCGGACTTGACGTCGAGAATTGCAAAAACAATGTTCAAAAGTCAACGACAATATTGATCGTCACAAAACACCTGCATTTCGTACGACACAGAGTTTCTTTCCTTGACCTATTGCGCAAAGCATGTAACGAGGATTAAGCGGTACAAAAAATATCTTCTAGTATGGATATATAATTACATTGTGGAGGCTTTGTCAAAATGTTTTCAGACATTCTCAACTGATAGCTAGACAATTACATTTATTAGTTTACCTTTGACCCCACACCGGACCAAGAGACGGGTGTCAATGATGAGTCCCATGGTACGTGCAAATGAGGTGCTTACGCTCACAAAATTATCTTGGCCATTCTTAGAAATATCTATCAAATTATGACATATGGCCCTGAACCACAGATAATATTTAAGCAGGCTTGTCGCTGCTCTTACTAATAGATACATACATTCACACTCACACCGAATATGAAAACAAGAGGCCCAGTGGGCTTGTAGAACTCATCGGTATATAACTAGCTTGATTATCTGTATTGGCAGACTCTTGGGTATGAATTGCCCGGGCCCAATTTTTCTGTATTGCGGCAATATCAAGATAGTTTATTAATAATATTATAATATAGAAATAATTGAGAAAAATAAAAATGGTATTCTCCGGGACAAGAGCTCGAACTTTCAATCTAAAGATAACAAAGCAAATCCTTTAACCGTCCTGTGGTCTCAGCTACAAATAACACTGACCAGACTATTACAATCTGATTAAAATCATCTGTTACATGGCTCCGCCTGAACATTGTTCAGGCGTAGTACGAA